CCGTCTCGGGCAATCAACGCCCTTCTAAGTTTCAACCCGTCTTGGTATACCTCTCTGGATTTCAGCCCCTGTTTCAACCCTCTAGATCTTTCGCTAGCCCTATAAGTGGCCAGAAAAAGCCCTAACTCGCTCTCTAGTAAGGCAACTAGAACTTCTAGCGCCTCAACGGTCATGTCTAGAGTCTCATTGGTAAGTTGTAGTGCCGTAGCGTTGGACTCGTATTTACCCATCAACATACTCAGGTGATCGCAGTGAGACTTTGACTCATCCAGGGAAATGTTCAGCACGGTATTCTGCGCCCTGAGGTGGTCGAGTTTTGCATTAATTCTCTCGATTTCGACTTGGTATTCGTGAAGGCGGTCGTAAGGGGCGAGCGTCCCCCCCGCTGAGGCAAGGGCATGGAAGAGCTCCTGAGAATTGCTTTCTTCGTTTAAGGTGGTCGTAAGTTGCTCGGCTACTGACGTGCTCGTAACTCCTACGTGTCGTAAGTCGCTGCCCGTAACTTGGCCCAGAATCTGAAGAGAATCGAAGCTTAAATGGATTACAGGGATAATGCGATACGTTAGAGGTACAAAGAGGATAAGGAAAGGAACTTGAAAATCTTAAACTGAGATTATTCTCGTATAAAATATGATTAAAACTGGAACTTGGATTTGGAAGATTGAGAAAAATCTAAAAGTGGCGATGGAAATGCGACTAAAATGAGGTTATAGCGGCTGGGAGTAGAGAATTAAAATTGTGCTGCATTCTAAAGACAGTTTTAAAACCTATACTTACGGTGATAGTGGGAAGAACTAATCAGTCACTTGTGCATCAGAGAGAACATTGAAATATGAGGTTTATGAGCTTCAGACCCGACAACTTCGGAGAAAAAATAGTTTCGATTTATTTTAAATTCAATAACAATCTATTCTTGCACAGGACAACAGTTGATTGACCGCTTCTGTGACTTACATTACTTCGTTTTAGACGCACACGCTCCGCCATCTTGCATATCACTGGAGGGTCTTCGATATCTGGTCCCGATGCTGGGCCCGGAGTCGGCCCATGTCCCGTATCATGTCCCGTATCAGGTTTCTCATCCGGTACCGTACTTGGCCTATTATCAGGTCCCGCATTTAGCCGACTGTCAAGTCCCGTATTGGGCCGACTATCAAGTCCCGTATTGGGCCGACTATCAAGTCCCGTATTGGGCCGACTATCAAGTCCCGTATTGGGCCGACTATCAAGTCCCGTATTGGACCGACTATCAAGTCCCGTATTGGGCCAATTATCAAGTCCCGTATTGAGCCAATTATCTGGTCTCA